TTCCATTGATTTCTCTGTTGTTTTTCTATTCCTGTCTCTGCTCCACTCTTTATTTCCTTCCACCTGCTAGCTTTGAATTGCGTTTGCTCTTCTTCTTCTATTTCTTTAAGGTCTACAGTTAGGTTATTAAAATCTTTCTTTTATAATGCATGCATTTACAGCTATAAATTTCCCACTTTCGCTGTATCCTGTAAATTTTGGTATTATGTGTTTTCATTGTCATTTCTTTCAAGGTATTTTCAAATTTCCCTTGTGATTTCTTCTTTGACCCATTGGTTAAGAATGTCTTGGTTGGTTTCCATGTTGTGAATTTTTATGTTTTGAGCAATTTCATTTTAAATAGCTCCAGCAGTGGATATCTTATATCTCCTGGGAAGGTTGTTGATAGCAAAACAGCCTTTAATGACTTTTTCTGCTTTTGAGTTTAATTCTCTTTAATATAACTTAATCTCAAGGCTGGGAATTGCCTGAATTCTGGTGTTCGTCCCAATACATACACAGGTCATGTAGAAGTCAGCTCACTAGATTAGTTACTGGTGAAATCTAGTAACTTTGTTGGCAGCACAATGTTGATCTCACTGTGATGAACCAGCTGTAGCTTCACGTGACTAAGACAAAATGATCACTCTTAATTTCATGGTCAGCGGCAGCAGAGCCAGCGTGAGCCATGGATTATTTTATTGAATGAATTCTTATTAGAAAATAGGAAAAATTATTTTTTTCTAATAAAAAATAATTCCACACTAGCAATTCACCACTCACTTTTCCTGGATGTTTCTGGAGAGAGAGAAACAATTCATGTGTCTGATTATTGTACAAAATGTGGGGAAGGCAGGCAGAGCCCTTTGGAAATAAGCTTAAACAACTGGCATGTTCTCAATTGAAACCCAAAAGCTTGCATAACATGACAAGGATTTGTATCTCGTATGAAGTAGAAAATGTTTCATTTCTAGGTTCTTACAATTTAAAGAACCCTCATATTTACAATAAAATTAAAAATATTTTAAAATTTCATGAATTGTATTTTCCAATTAGACTTTATTGTATATTAATGTGAGTCAAGTGTCAAGTGCTCTATTATATACATTACCTCTAATCCTCACCTAAGAAGATTAAGTTTCTTCACTCTTATTTTATAGAGGGGACACCATATTCCAGAAAGATAAAGTAACTTGCGCAAGGTTAGATGGCTGGGAAGCAACTGCTTTAGGAATCAAACATAGGGGTCAAGTCCAAAGGCTTTGGATTTTCCATTTCAATCTTTATTTTTCAATCCATATTTTTGACCAAAATATTACAAAATACATAAGATAGGATGGCTACTGAAACAATTTCAAGTTATAAACATTTGGTGGTTTGGCAAATGTCCCTATTAATAGCAAATTGTTGGTGGCATGATGGGCAATTTCCTTTTCAATGAATCTTTATGAATTCAGATACATGAGACGATATTTTAAAAAATTAATTCAACAAGTATTTGCTGACGATCTTGTCTATGATAACTTTATCTGATACTGAAATGAATACTAAGACTCCTTTCTTTTAAGGAAGTTTAATTTGGTATGGAAAAGGGATTTATTTAAAAAAAAAAACCCACCTTACAGCGGTGATTTTAGCAAGTAGCTTGTATGTGCATTTTAGGGAGGAATTCAGAGAAGGAGAAGATAAAGCTGAAGTTTCAGGCAGGCAAGACCTGGATAAACATTGATAATTTCGGTGCTGGAATCACAGTGCCTAAAACACTTGTTAATTGAATATAGTTAACACTAAATGTGTATCTTATAATTACTATTTTTCATTTAGTCCTTCCAACAGCTCTGTGAGACATGGACTACTTATTAATTTCATCCTACAGATAAAGAGACTGAAGCGCAGAGTTTAGGCAACTTGTTGAACTTCTTCTAACGTATAGCCAGTTCTAGAAGAACAGAGACTTGAACCCAAGCAGCAAAGGGCCACCGTGGCATGCTGCCTTCCGTGGGGGGCGGCTGATATTCTGGGAAGCACACTGTGTGGTAGGACTGAGCACAGCCCTACCGAGGATGGGGATGACCAGAGGGAGCAGCCAGACCAGGCAGAAGGCACTGTTCATTGAAAACAGTGTGGGTAAGTACCACCCATGGACTGGGCTCAGAGGATAGGAGAGCGATGGGACCCAAAACACCTAAGACCCTATGCTTTAAGCAGTGCACTGTGCTTTAAAAAGGTTTATATATTTAAGAAACCCAGGTGTTATAGACCACATGTTCGTGTCCCCAAAATCTATATGTTGAAACCCTAACCCCAATAGGATGGTACTAGAAGGTGAGATGTCTGGGAAGTCATCTGGTTTAGATGAAGTCAGGAGGGGAGGGGCCCCGTGATGGGATTAGTGTTGTTGCAAGAAGAGGTAGCAGAAAGCCTTCTGTCTTCCCCCCTCCCACCCCCAACACGCGAGGAAACCAGAAGAAAGTCCTCACCGGAGCCCCACCACGCCGGCATCCTGATCCTACTTCCCAACCTTCCCAACCTCCAGGGCTGTGAGAAACAAATGTCAGTTGTTGGCGCTCGCTTCGGCAGCACATACACCACGTGTGAATTGTTGAAGGCACCTGGTTTATGGTATTCTGTTAGAGCAGCCCCGACGGACTAAGATACCAGGGAAATGTCTTTTTCCCAGTGTCCCAATGTCAAACATTCCCTTCAAACACGGGCTGGGAAACTGGATATAATACAAAATACGTTCAAAAGTGCCGTCTCCTCCCAGCAAAGAGCTGCTTGCCTAGGGGTCTTGGGTGTGCTCTGGGGGTGTCTCCTTACAGGCCCAGAGCCCCCCTGCCGTTGGCCTCAAGCAGGTGCGCGATGGAACGAGGGGGATGGGGGCAACAAAGTTTTGCCCCATTCACCACATCAATGGTCAAAATGTGGGTCAAAGATGTTTACACGACTCACTCACAAGCACTCCTCAACACTGCTCCAACGACACAAAACCTGGCTGTCAAAAGATTGCTGCAAGAGGCTTTTCTTCTTTTCCGGAATTCCTCACTCACGCGTGACTCTCCTGTTACTTTGGAGCGACAGGAAAATTATGGGTTTTGGCGTTTCTGGGCTTGGTATCGCCGGGCTCCTTGCGCCCCCCCCCCCCCCCCCCCCGTTTACCTCGGAGTTCCCTCAATTAGGGAGGGAGTGTGAGCAGATCCCCCACCCCCACCCCGCGGCGGCGGGCTTGCTATGAGCGGTAAATACCAGTAAAGCAATTGAGCGGCGCCTGACACGACCGCTAATTCTAAACGAGCTTCTCTTCTCTTTACCCAAAGAAATACATCATTTAGGGAACTTTGAAAGAAAAAGATAAATGTTTGGATTTAAGCACTCAAGTCATGCACCCAGAAACCTGTCCAGAAGCAGCACACATGGTGCCTTGGGCCTATTTTTAGAACCAAGAACTCACTAGTTCAGGGCAGGACCAAAAATTCCTATGGATTCACTTTGGTCCTCGGTGAGTCTAGAATCAATGCGGACTACAATGACTCCCAAGACCCCTGTTCCATTTCCTCCAACTGTTGTCCTCTGAACGCGGGTCATCCCCTCTCTCCTTTTGACCTTCCTTCAGGAATAATCCCGAGAGTCACAGTTAGAGATAAAGCCCTTGTCCCCTGTGTTAATCTGTTTAAGACAAAAGTGCGTAATAATGTGCTATCCTGTAAGTGATACTCGCAGTGAGTTTGCTTTCGTCCAGCCAATCTGTGAGCTCAAACACTTGGGGATTCTTTTGCATTCAGGGCATTTAGTGCTGACTTTTCTCCCCTCTGATATGCAGTAAATTGCAGGTATAAGATAAAGTAGTAGCATTTGACAAAAAAACTGTTCCAAGGACCAGTTTCCCTCTTAATAAACTAACTGGCTGATAAGGGACTAAACTCCCCCTCAAAACACACACACACACCTCTAACGAATGATAATGGGGGCCATAGTAATTAGGACAGGAAGGAACAAAAGAGAGACAACAAAACTCAAGTTCCAGCTCCGCTTAAGAACTCTTCCATCTCACAAAATGGGGTCACCCCTCCTTTCCTTACCTACTTCACAGGGTTTTGTGAAGATTAAAGACTGTATGTCAAGCATAAAATGACTGTATAACACATAGCACTCCATAATCCATTCCTATTCTAACTAACATTAGTGAGTAATCCATTATTCCGCTTCTGGTAGTCTCATCTATTAGAAAAGGAAATGTAAGATGTCAAGGTTTACAGGGCATGGCCTCAGTTCCTTGTGTAATGCCTTCTAGATGCCAGCGAAACCCGCAGGCCAATGTTTCACGCAGGAGAATGGGATCATCAGTGAAATGAGCTTTCCATCCAAGGCTCGGGTGCGGGTGGCAGAAAGACTATTCCAACCTGTATTCTATCATGGCCAGATCATCTAAAGAAAACACCTGAACTATATCCCACACGTTAACCTTTGAACCGTATGATCTTACTCCCCTTGCCCCACTGAACTGCTTTTACTAAATCTGCCCTCGGTGGGTCCAGCCTTCATCTTCCCTCAAGGCTCCAAAAGCAGCTTGCTGCCATCTAGGGAGGCAGTGATGGTTACAAGTCTAGGAGAGGACATCACCGCAGTGCCCCATTAGGGAAGGCATGAGGGGGACATTTCTTTCAGGAGAGTCGGGAGAACTGAGGAACAGAAGGGACTCTGCTTGCCTTGAAGAATTAATGATTTTGTCTTTTTGCATTAGTGGAAATCAGAATCACGGAGCATGTGGCTGATTTTTTTACTTCTCCACGAATGACCTTACATTGCTCTGAATTATTTTTCACCTTAAGTGTGAAGGTGGGAAAAATAACACATTCCAGTTTACTTACGGTTCTGTTAATTGAAGGTTATCACCTTATTTTTAAAATAGCGCTTGGAGAAAATAATCCTCTTGTGGTTTTAAGAAGTACTTAAAACCAAACAAAAATTTAAAACCTTTAAAGAAAACATTTTTAAAAATAGTAACAGTATTACTAATTTTGAAAAGACTGTTGATGTCACTGTGGTTTATTGGTAAATACAAAGTATAGGCTCTTTGCTTTTTTTTTTTTTTGCTATATATTTTTTTTTAAAGCAAAGCCAAGGAGATTAGAAACCAAGTACACATATCCTCTTTAGAGTAGAAACATAAATTAGTTTTTAACAATTAGGCACTTAAAATGTAAATGTAAAATGGCATTTTTAGAAGTATAAACTACAGTTCCACTCCTAAATACCTCCTGAAATGTTTTTACGAACACAAAAGCACAAGCACTGAAAACATTTCTAAACAAAGATAATTTCCTCTTTAAAAAACAACAACAACAAACCTGAACACAAATCCCTCTCTATGAGAGACCAACAACTAAGGTATTAGGGAAAGGAGAAAAGAGCTTCTGAAATTTACATGTTTGATTAAAATATAAGCATTTAATAAAACTATTACAATAGCATACAGTATATATTATAATGAAAAATATGTCAGGAAAATAATGAATTCTAGACTTAAAATTTTACTTTACAACAAGGCACTTAACACATTGAAACAGTACAGTAAATTTCCGAAAGACTGCAACAGGCTACCTCTCACACCTTGTAATATTTCTTTTATGAATATACTGTAACATAACCGTACATTTTGCAGCATTAATCATTGCATAGGAGGTAAATTAAATAATGAATTCCAATCTTGGCAACTAGATTAGCTTATGTTTACAGTTTTTTTTTCTTTTAAAGGACAGTTTTAAATAATTCCATAATAAAGAACTATTCTCATTCATGATTCATTTAGAACACAGCATAGTTAGATTAATGAGTAATAAATCAGAACTTATAAGGTGTGTATCTGTATAAAAACTTATCTTTGGGTACCTTTGACATGATTTTCAGTGTTTAGGTATTGAAGTCAAGAGCACTTCTTAATAGAATATTTTTAGCAAGTAAGTCAAAGGAGTTAAATTATTGCAACACAATGACATTAAAAAAAAAAATACCAGAAACCTTTATACAAATAGGAAAGCCTTCAACACATGGCATATTACTTAAAATATGCTCGATTTAAAACTTGTAAACTCATTATCAAGAAATTCCTTCTCACACTTCCTTGCAGTACAGAAGTGAGTATGTTAAGACCGGCTTAAATTTTTAAGAAGTTTTACAGTGCAAAACAAAAACGACAAATAAAAAGGAAATGCTTAAATATTGAAGAAACAAGATGTGAACTTTTAATTTAAAAAGCTGCATGAGCTTTAGCATGTAAAAAAAATACAAATACAAAATAAGAAAGACTGCCAACCTGTGTTTCAAAGTAAACAAAGTATAGGTAGTTATAAAGGGAGACATTAATGATTGTGATAATGAGAGGTAAAATGGTCTGCAAATTTTCTTTGATCGAATGGATAAAGGATTAGAATTGTAACTTCCTGGGATCTAAGCACATTTTCCCTTTGGGAAAGGTTTAAAAGACCTTTAAAATAATCCCTTTTGCATGATGCTTTCAGATTATTGGCAAAAACAAAACAAAAAAACAACAACCAAACCAATGCCTTTTAAAAACTTGAAAATATACTTTAAAAAGTGGCAAGTTTGCGTTCCAAGTCATATAACATAATTCCACTAGGGGGCACTGCTATACAGCAAAGAACCTTAGGCAAGGTCCTCATTACCCTAGACCGGGGCCCGGGCTCGCTCAAAACAGCCTTCCTTCCTCAGCACAACTTATTTCCCAAGATGCCAGTAAATTAAATAACAAATTTAAAATCACTCTGGGTGGAATCAGGAGCAATGCTTTATTTTCAGAGCTGTGGAGGAGCTCAAAAAATAGAATCTGAGAGGAACCCATTTCCATTTGAAAGAATTTAGAAAAAATATGCCTAATTTATGGGAATCCTGTTATAGATATTGCACAGGACTCAATTCCAAGAAAAGCTTCGAACAGGAGCACTGGTTTACAAAAAAAAAAGATAATGGATAAGATCTCGTATCATAATTAGCAAGGAAAAGGAGCTCCTAAAATTCACTATTTCAAAGGCAAGATCATAATTGTTTTAAGTTTTCTATCCCAAAGGGGCATGTTAGGTTAAGCCTCAAGTTTGCTTTGGTAAATGTAAATGAGTTTCTCTATTTCTTTTATTTTCCTATCTTGAAACTTTGGTGTTTTCCCTCCTTTTCAAATCACGTTTCCTCTGTGTCTATTAGATACCTGTGACACATACATGTAAGGAACACGTGAGCAATAATAGTGTCTCCACACGTGAGGTCAGAGAGGTTTTTAAAGTTCTTTAAAAGGTGATGGTATTTTTTAAAAAACTGCATCACTTGACTAAAATGCAAGGTTTACTGTTTCAAGGGTCTCCAACAATCAACACACCATGATTTTTAAATCTTAAATACTTTTCCTTATTTAAGTTGAAGAAAATTAGGTTATCCAAGACACTGCTGAATAAGGCTCTCAGGTCTATCAGGTTATGAATTAGATGCTCAAGGAATATGCCAACGTCAGGAGCACAAAACCCAGGCTTCCGTGTCAGATGCTTTTCCTCATAATCGGACAGCAGGAATTGAAACTCAGTGTTTTCAAGCACAACACCTTAAATATCACAAGTGTCAATATTTAGCAAAAGAAAGACAAAATTCTGGCTTAAGCACATCTGGTAAACTATAGATCTATTTCTTATTGGTTTATTTAATAACAAATACCAGAAAACTACTTGCGTTTCAAAGTCTGCCAAGGATATTCAGGATTTCCATTCTCATTTTAAATAACTGGATGAAGAATGTCTTTTTTCTTGCCTTTGAATTCAACTACCTTTCCTTTAGTGATTCTTCTGTTACTCAGAGAAAGAGCCATTCTGAATACAGACACAGAATTTTAGCACCAAAAATAATGACCCTTCTGAAAAGATTTGTATTGTGCTTCTCTCAAGCAATCTGAAGGTCAATTTTGTGTACCAAATCAAAGCAAACTAGTTTATAATGACAAATTCAGGGGTATTTTTCATTCTTAAGTGGAGGGAAATTTTCACCTTTTTTGCCTTCAATATAAATGTAACTGCCCCCTTCTACCTCATGGGCCTGTCTTCTGACCTAGGGTTGATGATTCTGTAACCATAGATCTCATTTTAGAGTTACTAGAAGGCTCAAGAAATTAACCAACTCTGACAGCATTAATCTGATCTGATTTTTAAAAATCCATCTTCTTTTTGCATCACCTCAAAGAACTTTAGAAACGATGCTCCCCCTTTACTGGGTCGCTGTCACTGTCTAACAGACTGATTCCAACAGGAGAGGATAATGCAGCACCGTGGTGTAATTTCACGATCAAAGTAAAATTACTCAGTTGTGGCATATGTCCTTAGGACCCATTTATAAGAAGCTGAGTCTCTTGCTAAAAGGCAAGGATACATTACACTTTTAGACTCCATCTTGGTTTTTCCATAAAGTACAATGTAACTAGGAAGAAAGAGTTTCCAGTGAAACATGACCAACTGCATTTCTGAGTTCCGATTAGCCAATTTAGCCGCTCTAAAACAGATCTCACACAGGGTAGGACGGGAGAGAAACGCAGGCTTGTCCCCCAAGTGGCATGAGCATCCATTCACATACATGCGTGTTTTCAGCCTGTGCTGGAGCAGCTACCTGCCCTAGGGGGCGGGGGCGGGGCACAGATGCAAATTTACCAGGCAGAGAGCAGATGAATGTATACACAAGGACCACCTGTTTAACAGAAATAGCTCCATGTTTCCTCTGTATCTGTCCTAGAGATTTTAAAGTGAAATATTTACACACGCATAAAATCTGTGAGATGTGTCAAATACTTCCATATTGGATCACCTTTCCTTTTTTTTTTTTTTTTTAAGAAAATTATCAGTTTAAAAAAAAAAGTAGAAGTGATACATAGTGCAGTGGGTGGTAGCAACAGGTGCACATTCCCAGACCTGACCCTGACCTTCCCCGTGACAAGGTGGAAACAAAGTTCACCTCAGGTTTACTTACAACCAATAGATCTTCCCCTCATTAATAAGCCTAATGCTAAAACCACTCTCAACATTAGGTTATTCTATTTACACAGTAGCTGTATATATCCAGATATTTTATTTAAAACATTAACAAATTCTTCTGATGTTGGAGGGAAAAAAAATCCTGAAGAAATTCTGTAGAGGGCTTTAGTGGATAAAGAATAAGGAGAAGGAATAGTGGGTTCTTTGGCACCTCTTTAACAAGCTCATTAGTAAAATCCCAGTTTGGGGGCTTGTCACCAATGAATGAAGAGCTGCAGGAGAATATACCTTTCTCAGGATGAATAAAAAAACAGTCAAAGGGTAATACTTCATTCATCTTTCTAATCATTTACACGAAATTTGGTCCACTTCTTCATTTACCAGTCAGGTCTTCTAAAATAAAAACCCAAAACTATACCTTTGGTTACAGCGTTAACTCTTTTGGTATAAGAGCTGATGCCTTTGTTTTGCTCCTCAGGTAGATTTCTCATTATCTTCACCGATCTTCTGAACCCGTGAATACTTTTTGCATGAAGATTTAAAGCAGCCAGGGGGCCAGGAGAGTGGCCAGGAGAAGCAGCAAGGAATTGAGCCTTGTACGTTTTTCTCGAAAAAATAAAAGATGGGGAACCACCATGCTCGAGACAAGAAATTCGTCTGTGAAGAGACCTTCAAGTTCTGTAAAAAGTAGAAAAATAAAAAGGAAAATGAGACCTATTTTTCATGATTTGCATCCTATTTTTTCTTAATTAAATTATCATTCATTGTACCATAACAGAGAAAGCAGCAGAATCAGAATCACAAGGCAGTAATTGTCTTTGTTTTTTTTTTTTTTAAAGATTTTATTTGTCAGAGAGAGAGAGAGAGAGAGAGAGAGATAGCGCATAAGCAGGGGGAGTGGCAGGCAGAGGGGGAAGCAGACTCCCTGCCGGGCAGGGAGTCCAACGCGGGGCTCGATCCCAGGACCCTGGGATCATGACCTGAGCCGAAGGCAGGCGCTTAACCAACTGAGCCACCCAGGCAGTATTTGTCTTTGTGCCTTTTCCCTGATCCTGACATATTTCTGGTCCCAGGCTCCTTCCCCCTTTCCATCTCATGCAAATTCTTCTGCATGCAATCCCAGTAAGAGACTCAGGAGTGGATGTGTGAGTTGTCCAGGAGGGACAGTGCTCAGGATGCATAAGCAGGTGGATCGAGGCCCAGGAAGATGGAAGAGTGAAAGGTGAACTCACAGGGTGGAACAGATTTAAGGTGAAAAGTGAAGGTTTTGGGTTGATGGTGTCAGGAGATACCCAGATGGAAGTGTAAGAAGGAAGGAAGGTGGAAATGGGAGTCTACAAAATGGGAAGGAGAGCCACAGACACAAAATAACCCATAGAAAAGGCATCTATCAGTGGATAGCCCTAGACGAGAGTTGGATTTAGACCCTTTGGGAATGACATGTGCTCACAAATTCTATGCATCAGACAATATGGCGGGACCACCCAAAGAGAAATCCTCCTACACGGACTCACTCTCTGACACCAGGCACACACACCTAGACTAGGGAAACACAGAGAAGGGGAGGAACCATCCCATCTTGGGATGACAGGAAGACAGCAGGAGCTAGGAAGGCTTCCCAGAAGATGTGGCCTTTGAGTTAGCTCTTTCCACATGAGCAGCAGAAGCAAAGAAAAGGTCGCCTGGGGACAGAAGGCAGCAGTAACAAATAAGGAAGTATAAGAAGGGAAGCCAGAGAGCACAGTATCACCAAAAGATGTACCAAATCCAGGAATCCACGGACTACTTATTTTGCGTGAAGTTTAACAATAATTGCTGTCTTCGCAAAATTAGGTTCTCTGAGGGCAGGGAGCAGGGCCTACTGAGCTGCGCCACAATGCTTCTATAGAGAAGGTTCCCGTATTTTAAGTTAGCATTTATACTTCTTCAGTTCTGGTATCGATTAGTCAAATTAGGAAAACACTATGCTCTATAATTACACCGCCCTTTTATCCTTAAATGTCATCTATATTTGTGACACGATTTATTTGAAGAGGCAGTCACGGGGATATGTTTCAGTGAACTGACCCAGACCCCACATGTGAGTGGGGACAGTGGGCATTCCCACTAAAGCTATCTGAAACCCCGGTGTATGAAAAAAGGGCCACTGCATTGCAAGAAAAGAAATTATCCGGGGATGGCTTCCCTGTTCTCACCTTTTCATTGGCCATTGAATGGTACCACCAAAACAGCCGTGTTGTAATATAATAAGCAATGATCACATCGACGGTATAGTGTTCGTGCGCTACAAGAATGCAGATGATCCCGGCGGCACTCAGTAGCCAGCAGATTAAATGATACCACCAGAAGTGACGAGGTGAATCTAGACAGCAGAAAAAGTATAGAGTTAATAAGATTCCCAGAGACGAATTCAGTGATTACAGTCTACACTAACGACCTTAAGTAGAATAATCTAAGATCAGGAAGGCACCGGAAGAAGAAAACAGATTAACCCCCAATGAGTCACCGTCAGCCGCCCAGGATTTGCTCCGTGGGAAGGGAGCAGGACGTGGACCACTGGTAGCAGGTCTGATAGTCATTCCCTGGGGAACAGTCATTGTCTGGCCATCCTAGACCTTGCCTACTGCTAAGCCACACGGTAAGGAAGAGAACAGAATTGTTTATTAGGTTGGCTGGAATTGGCTCATACTGGCTCACAGAAGGATCCCACTGGAAAGAAAAGCGGTAGGGGTCAAAAGGAAGGGTAGTTGTCAAGGAAAACGTGGGGGGAAATGAGAAAGCAAGAGTCCTCTCAGGTCTTACATAAACTTACTCTGATTTCTCCAGGGGGAGAAAAACAGCCTTGCGGCTAGCAATATTTTGCTTCTCAGCAGTTTTATACTGTTATTGCTAATGGCAACTATAAATGCTCCCTATATAAAGCTTAGGATTCTGGCTCATTCACTTGTGGATTTTAGCCTTCCTACTGAGGCCACCAAGAAGGTCATCATATTGATCGGCTGTAAGAGAGAACGAGAGCACTCATCAGGTGAAACAGGATCGTGCACGCCACAGCTTGCCCACACAGGTGCTGATGACGCAGGTATAGATGCAACCTCTGGTTCATTGCCGATAGCTTTCTCTTTTCTTTTTCTTTAATAGCTTTTTCCTTTTTTTCTATTTTAAAGCCTTATTAGCTCACAAAGTTAATACTCTCACAAACCGATTTATTTTCTATTTGCCTGTGTTTATCTTCATAGTGATATTTATTTCTAAGTGCAGAACCATGGTAGAAGAGTAAAAGGATCCATCTCCAGAAGTTTAGAGGAAACACCAAATCAGGTATCACTCAAATGAAAAATAGTTTTTGGTGAAATAGCTGTTGCTCTTTTGGTCCCAAGCGGAACAGTAAGATACTAAGCCTGCATTTGCATTTGGAAGTCTGACTTTTCTTTTTTTTTTTTTTTTTAAAGATTTTATTCATTTATTCATGAGAGACAGAGGGAGAGAGAGAGAGAAGCAGAGGGAGAAGCAGGCTCCCAAGGAGCAGGGAGCCCGACACGGGACTCGATCCCAGGACCCCGGGACCATGACCTGAGCCGAAGGCAGACGCTTAACCATCTGAGCCACCCAGGCGCCCGGAAGTCTGACTTTTCCATTTTGAATGTGCTCCTTGTTCCTTCTCAGTTGGCTCATCCTGCCACTAAGTTCTGGCAGACAAGTGACGGACTCCTAGAATTTTAAAGCGGGAAGAGGCCTTACCCTTTACAGCTTGGGTGGCCAGATCCAGGCCCCACAACTGTTCTGTTAGGCGGAGAATACTCAAAATTGAGCCAACATTTAGACATCTGGAGAGTTCACTAAATATGCATTCTGCAGAACCACAGACTCCACCCTTCCCTGAAGTCTCACACCAACCCAACTACCTCTGCTGATAGGTCCCCTGATATTTATTACCTTAGATAAGTTAAAACTGTTTGGGCAAACCAGAACCATTTTGTATTTGTTTATCCACAAGAAGCAAAGCTGAAGCAGACAAGGAGTAAAGAGGCGGGCCGAATGGTCATTTTACTACTTGTGGAACTGAAAATGAAGTTTTAGGAATGGCTGGAAATTCTAACACTGCTCTTCCACAAAAATGTATTCCCAGGTATGCTACCACATTGGGACTACTGCACACTAACTGAGCACAGTGGCTGACCCAAAGCAAAGATTTAATAGAAATTATTTTGAAATAGAAATGGGAAAATGGTAACCCCTTCCTGCTTTCCCATCCTACCACAGGGAGAACATCAAGCTAAAAGATAATGATACAAATATTAATCCAATCCACTTGTCCGTGTGGGCTCCTAGCCCTAGCTGCCATTGAATAATCATACAGACAATGGACTTTCTGTGGTAACAAGGTTAAAAAAGAAAGAAAAGAAATAGAAAGCAAGAAAGAAAAATGTCCCCCTCTCCTAGCAAGACATTTGGTTCTAACTACTAGACTGACCTCCTTGGGCTAATTTTGTAAGGAACCTAGGCCCCAGTGATAAAATTTGCACAACAGTGCAAAGCCCACAAAAAACGGTCCTGGTCTCATGTTTTCATCTGTTCTCTTGACAACATTCAAATCTACTCATGACAACCAAGCAAACAAGGAAAGAGACCAACTAGATCAAAAGGCAGGAAAACAAAAAATATAGGAAAGATGCATCTAATTCTAGAAGCATTCTGCTCAAAGAAGCCATTGGAAGCACTGCTTACTCAGAACAATAACACATGGTATCATTTAGAAGGTGATGGTTTTTCCTAATTGCACAGGAAATGAGCACAAACATGGAATGCTCTGTTTATGTACAGAACTGACTCTACAGCAGGGTCCGTATTAAGCATTACAGATTTGCCATTTCATTTCTCACCAAAAATTAGAAAAAGCAGAATATAATTCTTTCCCTGCTGTATGTAAACTTAATACAGTTTTAAAAACCTCAAGCCAAAATCATGCCGTGGGAAGCAAATCTCTCTACATACTGCAGAGCCTTCATTAAAGCATAAAAATAATCACAAGTTGCCTTGCTATTGCTCTGAAGTAAAAGAAAGAACAATAATGAGCAATAGACCCAGACTGTTCCTTAGCAATTTTATAAGATCAGACAACTTGGATTCCCAAATATTCTAAACAGAGCCAAGAAATTAATAGCATAACCTCTGGAGTCAGCCTGCTTGAGTGTGAATACCCCATCCTCCAATTACCAACTGGGGACCGTGGGAAGTCATTCTCTCTATGTTTAAATTTCCTCCCTGAAAAATGGGGAAAACAGTGCTTCTCTCTTGGGGTGGCTGCAGGATTAAATGAGTTATTTTGCATCAACGGCTTAGAACAGTGCCTGGCACAGAGTATTACGACTTTTTGCTATTGCTGTTAACAACCCTTGGTCTTCGGTTATTTTATAAAATTGACCTTCAGTTTCCTGGGGTGATTCTCTTCATTACTTTGAATCCACAATGGCTTTGCTCCAACATGCAACGCCTCCCCACCCTCAACTTCACCTTTTTCTATAAATTTCTTAATGATTTTCAGATTAGAGAGAAGCTTCTACAACTCAAGTACACCTCTGCACTGGAAAATAATTGATCTTACACACAGGTGGAACTTTTTCCAACAAAAGTTAGAGTCAGAATCATAAACAGCACAGATCACTCTATTGGCTCATCAGAACCGATAACTAGGTATTGGAAATGTAGTGACTGACATTTAAGGAAGAGACAACCCCCTGATATTGGTGCAGAAATAGACTCAGGTTTCTTCCCATTACCACCTCCCACAGTGTGAGGCTGAGGGCAGAAATAAGGGGAAACGTCCAGAACACCCTCTGCCGTAAAAAAGTCGGGTATGATGAAGTCTGTGCACTTAACACACTACTCTCTGTACCAAGTGTGTGTGTGCGCACGCAACCGCGCGTGCGTGTGTGCGTGCGTGTGGCATTTACAAAGGAAACAACTCGGAAGCTACACAATTCTTACCAAAAAAAAGACTTCAGTTCATCTACTGTAAAGAGCCTCAACTCTTTGTCATAATACTCTCAAAGCAGAACTTAAACCTAAAACCCCAGGAAACCCAAGGGACAAGAACTCACTTATGCACCCCGGACAGATAAACTCTGACATCCACACTGCCATCTGCCAGTAAACTTGTTTGAATTAATGACAGGCCAAGAGAGGGTGGAAGAAGCAGGACATCAGAGGGGGAGGCGTCCTTCTGCTGGTCTTTGCTAAAAGACCTCTTTACAATGCCGAGTAAGTGAAGAAAGTTGAGATAAGGCTCTAAGAAACACTGTGGAGTGTTCTGGAACTAAAGGGGAAGGTTAACCTGACCAGCATTGCAACAATGAAGGAGAAAGTATCACTCGCTTTGAAAGGACTTTGAGATGATGGGCCTAATTAAAACAAACCTCAGAAATCTACAACAAGGGGATCTGCCAGGCAACTAAAATACAGATCCCACAATGAAGGAGACATTATACGAGCCATGAAAGCTGACAGGATACACAAGGATTTTGTATAATGGGAATTCACTGTATAAATATGGAAAGATACGTCACATTCTTGCCTCCATGTTGTTTTGTACAAAGAAATGATCAATACTGGCAAAATGTTCCTTGAAGATGCCTACTGAATCATAGAAGTCGGCTGGAAAATGGTGAAATTGGAATGGGACAAGAAAACATCTAAAAAAGGGGAAAACATTAAATTATTTGGAATGATGGAAGTTCCATACAATGGAAGTTTCACTCATAAGTCATTTACATTTGGCTTTCCAGTGCATGGATTCTGTTTGCAATAAATTTAACACTGTGTTCTTCTTAGTTGCAACACTAAAATAGCTTTTCATACCTAGAGAAGAGGCGGGAGAGAGACATTGTGGAGGCACGCTAAATGTTAGAGAATCCAGGGTCAAGTTTTAAGCCTCCAGTGTCCAAATCGCATAGGACTAGTTGAAATGATTTAAACACACACACACACACACACACACACACACACACACACACACACACA